AAATTACCTTTATCCATATAAAAAGTGGAATCATATGACGATGATATGGGGTTTGGAAGCACGCGAATTGACTCATAAAAATATGGTAGAGTTAATGAAGAAATTCGAACCGCAATCTATGTAATGAATTAAGCAAACGCAGAATTATTTTGTGTACATTGGAAAGTTAAGTTGTCAAAATATATTAATCTTTAACTCTATTAATCGATATTTCTTAAATATTTTACTTATGTATATAAACCAACATCATTATATTCTCGCTATACAGCATCATACTATAGGTAATATTTTGAGAGAAACATTGCTTTTGCTCAAAATTTAGCAATTTCGGAAAAAACTTCACTGCCACACGTTTCTTGCCCAAAACATTCGAAAAATTGAATGGTATAAGCCGATTGATATGTCAACATCCTCTACAACTTCCCTAATAGTGATTCGACGATTTTCAAGACTTTTTCACTGTTTCACTGTTTTCTTCGCTTGTTGACGTGGTCGCATAAAACACTTTTTTGAGCGGGCTCAACGAATGCCACAGTCAACAATTTAAAGTGCTTTGGAGCACTTTATTCAATTTTAAACGCAAAATTTTATACATATTCTTTGTTCCATTTCTTTCAAAAGTCAAAAATAGAGAAGCCCACACAAAACCGCGACTAATCTTTTTTGCTGTCAAAAGCAAACTACTAATCTGGCTCCTAATGCAAGCGCATGATAAACATATGTGTCCGACTATAACAAAAACCAAATATCAATAATCGAAAGTACACAGCCCCCGAATAATCAAAATTCACCTTTTCCTTTCAACACACCACGTATACATGATCACCATGATGACTGAGTCGATTTACCCGTTCCGTCTGTCTGTCTGTATATACGCGAGCTAATCGCTCAGTTTTTGAGATATACCTCTGACATTTTGCACACTTCGTTTTCTCCCAAAGAAGCCGATATCGGACCACTATAGTACATACAAACTGAACTATCAAAATTAAGTTCTTGGATGAAGTTTTTACTTGTATGGAAAACTTTTGTATTTGACAAGATATCATCACGTAATTTGGTACAGATTATTGCTCAAGGCAACGGCATAATCTCCGAAGAAATTGTTCAGACTGAACCACTATAGCATATAGCTCCCATACAACTTAGTAATCAAAATCATGTCCTTATATGTAAATCCTTTTTATTTGACAAAATATTTTCATGAAATTGGCAAGGAATATTATTTAAACTAATGGTATAATCTTTGAAGAAATTTTTGAGATCGGATCACTATAAGATATAGCTGCCATATAAACTGATTTGTGAGGACTATTATAGCTTCGGTGCAAGCGAAGTTAACGTTTTTTAACGTTTTGGTATAACCACCAAAGTTATTCATTTATATCTAGTGTTGACCTCTCATAAAACCAAACCTTACAACCTACCTTGGATATTTGCCGGCTTAAAAGTCTCGCACAGAACACCGTAGTCCAAATTCTTGTGTACCGATCGAATGGAAAATGCACGTATACTTCGAAGAAGTCACGTCTTTTAAGTAGTAAACGTAGTATTTACCTGAATTTACTGAGTATTTGCAGCCCAATTATACTGTAAGCTGTAAGAAGTGAATGTTTGTCATACCCTTGTTGTTGTTTGCTGTGTGCAGCATTTAAATAAAGTCGATGCACTAAGTTTGCTTTCCGAAAGCCAGAGCACATTAAAAGCTATCAACTAGCACAGCTAATGTTGTTGCTATTTACCTCCAGCCATGTAAATATGTATGTACGCAGATGCTCGTAATTAAATAATTACTTTCCTGATGGCTTACTTCAAGGCGCGTGTATTTGCTGTTGTTATGCCAAAGGTTGCGCTTTTCGGTTTGAGACAAGTATTTAATGTAATGAGGCTTTGCTTTGTTAAGATACAAGTCGCCAGAGATGATGTGGGTGTTACTGTTGCGGCTGGATGTTGCAACTTATGGCTGCTATTTACACAATTCTCTCAAACCTTACTCGAGAGCATAGAAATACGCCAGGGCAAGTAGTATGTATTTAGGGTTTGTTAGTTCGGCTTTGACTCGATGGCCTGATTGCTTACTTATTTGCTACTGTTTGCTTACTTAACTGTAAACGTCACTGTCAGAGTGTAACTAACTTTGGAGGGGCGCAAAAATTAAGAGCTACTTATGGCTTCGTAGAGTGCCACTTGTCGCTGGAGTTCACGGATGTTGAAGAGGCATTGCATAGTTGCAATGCAAAATTAATTTTTTTTCTTTTGCTGAATAACAATAGAAAATGAGTGCTATTGAAAACTTTTGCATTCGATTTCGAAAGAGTAAAAATCCTTGAATTAATAAATAATACTCATTTGAAAAATTGAATTCGTCGAAAAAATGGCAGCATGAAACTCATACATCAAAATGGCATACATAGTGACGGCTTAATATTGAATTCCGCTTAAGCTGACAAGAGTTGGGTGTGGATACATGGATGTTCTTTTTGGCAGCTGTGGGTGGTTAAAATTGTATATGGTTCCATATGTATGTGTTGCAAATATACTTCTCCCATTCGCTTCCCTATTCAACTCAATCGCCGAATTAAGTTATTTGCCAATGTCGCTGGCATTCAGCCGATCGCCAAACCTTCCACCAAACTGTCCGGCTTTCAACTGTCACTTTGACAGCTTGTCACTGTTTGGCCAAAATCGAATGAATGGATGGGCAATCGTTGCATGAAATGCTACAAAAAAAAAACGTAAATTTAGTATTTTGCTACCTTTGGAAGAAAAGAAAATTATTTTCCTCGAACAAATGCGTTACCGGGATAGTGCAAGCTCAAGTTTTTTTGTTATATTTTATTTTCCTTTTTTTTACGGTTTATTTAAAATCATAGATTCCATAAGAATCTAAAATGAACGTCACCTGATGAGGGCGGTAGGTGCTTTGAGGGAACTCGTTTTTCCTTTTCAACACCACCAGAATTTAAACAAGGAGTAAGAAAAATAGAATAGAATTTATTTATTTTAATATTTATTAAACAAGGTTCTCATTTTATCAATTGATTAATATCTTTAAAACCTAGTGTACTTTAACCGAGATATCGGTCCGAAATTTTGTACACGTCATTTTCTCACCAAGAAGCTGTGCTAATTTGTCGGAACCGCTGATATCAATAGCATATAGTTGTCATTCAGAACGAACGATCGGAATAAAGTGCTGGCATGGAAAACTTTTTCATTTGACGAGATATCTTCACGAAATTTGGATATGTATATGGATTATTGTCTAATGCAATCTCCGAAGAAATTGTTCTAATCGGAGCACTATAGTATAAAGCTGCCAAAAACACTGCACGATCGGAATCAGTTCTTGTAAGGAACCATTTGTATTTGTGAAGGGTATTATAGCTTCGGTGCAACGGAAGTTACGTATTTTCTTATTTTTTACCAAATACGAAATTAACTAAATTAATGCACAGATGGAGAGGAGTTTCAGATTTTCGACCCTAATTAAGAACAGCTTAAACAAGTTTCTAGAATGAATAGCACACGCAAATATTTCCGCAGTTCATTTGAATTCTTGGAATATATATTACAGTAGCTGCAGCTTTCTGGGTGGCCTTTGGGTATATGATATATGTATGTATTGATAAGCTGAATAATAAGTTAACATACATACTTACATCACATACATGTATTGTATGTTATGTGTGGATTTGTTAATGAAGTTATTTATTTAATTTTGAGTTATCCATTTGCTGCAGTATAAACTTCATTGGCTTTTGATTTCAACAATCATTGGCTCGGTAGTAAGCGGTCAACAAACGCTGACACCACAACACCTCCCAGCGGCTTGGCCATTTACCAGCATGTCAGTGGCAGCAGTGGCAATCGGCTATCACCGACACTTCATGGCCTCGGCAGCAAATTCATTTTAACCGCAGATATTTGCGGTTTTCATCTTCTTCAATGTCGGCCGGCTACAATGTATGTGTCTGTATATATTCAATAGACATACATATGTACAAAATGTGCATGCATTAATTTTTTACAATTTTGTTGTTTTTTTTTTTTTTGCAATTTCTTTTGTTTTACTTACTCTATTTGGATTGAGTTTCTACAATTGCTGTTGTGGCTTTAATTTATTATTTAAATTGAAAAGCTTTGATGTTTATCCAACGCTGTGCAGTGGCGCATCAAAGTGTTGTGAGAGGGACAAGTGTGGCGGCTGGATTGGCTGATTTCAGGTAGTTGGAGATTAGCTGGACCTCTGCCAGCATAGCAAAATCAATTAGAAATAATAATGAGCTATCTAGTGGTTCGGCAATCACGCAGCTCGGTCGACCTCAAACGCGACTATAAGTGAGCACACACACACGCAATCCATGGATGGCACTGTAGCTTGTTTAGAAATACCTGGAGGTTATTGTATACGGTTGCCATTTAATTTTAGCTGATTTCACTTTGGCTATTGTTGGCCTGTGGTTGAGCTTGTTTGCCTATCAAAGCGGTTGCGAAGGCGGAGTTTCGCAAACATATTAAGGATGTTTTGCTAAATAACTAATGTATATACATACTCATTCGTGTGAATTTGGTTTCGTCAACTTATTCGCCTCAATCGGTACTCTCGGACGATCTTCATAAAAGGCAATAATTGATTGGAAATACCAGTGAGATTGAAACTGACTATGCGTGAGACAATAGGCGTCTTTGTCATTAAAGTGGTCTTCAGTGCTACTAACTTTAGTTTCAGAGTTTTAAGGCAAGTTCTACTATTGCGAAAGGCTCACATTTTTTTATACCCTGAATAGTGTATATTAAGTTTGCCACGAAATTTGTGGACCCAGAAGAAAACGTCGGAGACCCTATCAAATAAATGGGTCATTCCATCCAAAATTTACATTAAAAAAATCGAAAAATTTTTTTTTGTTCTTTGAGGCAAAATATTGAACATGTATTTTTTTACATGTTTACTCTAAAAAGAACTCCTGGTAAAATTAAATGCGAACTAGTGGTGCTTCTTTGTGACATATGTATTTTTATTGATTGTTAATAATTAGCCATTAAATTTTATTATCATTTGTGGTATTTTTTTGATCATTACATTGCTGTTTTTTATGAACATTCTAGCCAACTTCATTTGGTTTAGCTTGTTTTTGTTAAGTTTTTTTTCTTCTTTTTAATTCATCAGCTGACATATTTTGTTTTAATAATTAATTACATTGGGATTAATGCGGAATTACTATTTACTTTGCAATTACGTTTAAATGTTTTACTCTTAATTAAAAATAAAAATTATTTTATAGGTTTACCGCTAAAACACTCATACAAGTACATACTTATACGCATTTATTTATGTATTAGTATATATATATATATATAGATATTTACGTTAAACGTATGTTTTTAAATACAAATGCAAGCACATACATATATATACATACAAGTATGCTCTTTTTATACCATTTAAGTTTTTTAATTTTTATAATTTTTTGTAATTTTTCAGCGTTTTCAATAATAGAAAATGGTTTCCTACACTAACAATTAATATTTATGCAAAATTTACAGGCATTTCTTTGATTCAAACGCAAACAAGGTGAAAAAACGAATTTATGTTTATATGTTTGTAAATTTTATTGATTTTTATTTTATTTTATTTTATTTTTTTGTTCTGCTCTGTTGGACATTTCTCGCAATTTTACTAATGGCACAGTTTTTGAAGTGCAGTTTATTATCATGGCATCATTTTAAACATTTATGGTACAACTCTTTGCCGCTTTTTCGAAAGCTTTTAAACAGCTTGCAGTTAGCATTGAAATGACAACTACTATTTACAGAGCGCTTCTATGTATATCGTTAGTTATTAAATTTAGTTCGCATGATTTGGCGAAGTCTTTTGGCTTTCGTCTCTTGGTTTTGAGTTTTTCTTTTATGTAATTTGTGTCCAAGCATTTATAATACAATACACTTATAGAGTAAGTATCTAAGCTCTAAAAAAGTTTACGCTAGTGTGACATTTTTGGTATAAGCTTAAGTGGTATAGCTGGAATGCGCAGGGAAAGCATTTTACTTTGCTCTGCCTTAAATGTTTCTCATTTTAACTTTGCCCTTATTTTTTACACCTATATCAATATGTATGTACATATTTAGATATATGTTTTCTAAGAATTTAATTTTATAATTTCAACATTTAGAATCTGCGATTTTGGAATATACTTGTAGATTGTAGCTTTGAGAAATTTTTTGGTATCGAATTTCAGTTTAAGGTCTAGTAATTCTAGTAATTAAATATATTATGCAGCTGTTTTTAAAGTGAGTGGCTGTAAACTGCCGAATGTAATATATCATGAAAAAAACTCAAAAAGCAATCGAAGGCGCAAGCAACTTAAAATAAGCTGACGAATGAATAAATAAAATAGAAAAACTGAGACCAAATTTCACTGCTACTGCTGTGATTAAATTAAACGAATCCGGAGATCATTACGAAGATTGAAAACTGTTAAAGTAATGAATATCAAATAAATAGTAAAGCAAAAAACTTATTATTTTTTTACAAATAAATATCAAACCGAAAGCTATTGACTGTCCCTAGTAATGTAGTATTTTAATATTTTTGTAAATTTGCAAAAAATGTGGAAAAAATTTAAAAGGTGACAAATGCTCAAGTTGATCCGAGTAATAGTTTTGGAGATACAGCCTCGTAAAGTTGCGCGCTGGAGGTCAGCTATACATAAACTGTGTTTTCAAAAGTGGTTGTCTCGCGAGTCACCCAACCGATCTTAGTGAAATTTTGCACAGGTCTTTGAGATATAATTTCCAAGGTCTTGAACGAAGTTTTTTTTTTTCAACTACAATTATTTAGAATAAAACTTCGAGAAATTTTCATTAAAATATGCATTTTTTTGTAAATGCGTTTACCTTTTTACTTTTTTTCCTGCGTTTTATGGTTTTATATTTTCTTTTTATTACATAAGATGCTCTAAGAAGTTCTGCTGTCAACGTGGAGGCAATTTATTTCCCAAGGGCCTGCCGGTAAGAAGTCGTAATGGCCCAGTTTTGAATATTTTCCTTTGAAAATTTCACAAAATCTTTGTAAAATTTGTATTTTTGGAATAAAATTTTTAGAAGAAAAAAGTTATTGAAAATATGCCGTTTTTTGCTCGAAGAAACCCATGTAAACCCTTAAAGTATAAATACTTTCGGAAGAAGTAAACCCGCAAATAGTTTTCGAATTAATCGTGAAATTAGCAAAGGGTTCTCCGGCGTTCTGGTATGTTTGCGAGCAGGTAGTTAGCAGCAGCTGAAAAACTTCAAAAGCCTTCTTTCTCAAAAAAAATTTGTTTTGAACTGGTGACCACTGTACCTCAAAAACCGCTTGACATATTTCAATGAAATTTATACTGCTTTCTGAAAACATGAAAAACTAGGGGAAAACTGATCAAAGAATTTTTTATTTCGATTTTATACAAAAAATAACTATTATTCTTCTTTTCCCGAAAATCTTGAAAAAAAATTTTACTATTTTTTTAATTTAAAATAAAGCTTCGATTAGGATTATCTATTAATAAAACAATTTGTTTTTTTGTCCGATCGATTTTAGCTAAATCCCAAGGAACTGAATCAACACAAAAGAACCATTATTTTTAAAATAATTTTTTTTTCATATTTCTGTCAGGTCAAGTCGAAATCTTATTTAATGAAGCTATGTTTTAACGTTTATAAAATAAAAAAACTTACCAGAAAAAAAATTGTAATTTTTTCATGACTCTGACTACAGCTAACCTCCTAATCTTCTACCATTATATTTTAACATTTTTGAAATTTTGCAAAAAAGTAAGAAAAAATGTATAAGATGAAAGATTTTGATTGTGATGTATTTAAGATTTCGCTTTGAGTTTGGGGCATAATTATTTACCTTTGTAATAGTTATTACTTATTCGTTGGCAATCACACATTATTTACCGTTTTTTAAACTATTTCAACAATTTAATTAATATAATTTTTTTTTGATTTTTGTTTTTGGTTTTGTTTTTTTAACAGTGTCGTGTGGTTAATGCAGTTATGGCTGAGCTTCTTTAAGTTTTTTAGATTGTTTATTTGTTTGTACATTTGTTAATGCTTGCTCATATTATAACTTCAATTGATGCATTATCAATTCTAAATTCTTTAAACCGACTATTACTTTATTTTTTTTTTAATATTGTTCATCTGTTGCTGCAACATTACATTTTATTTTCGCTAGTGGTAAATCCAACTTCGTTTTCGATATTTCTCAAAATCTCTGATGCTGCAAATGCTGAATTTTAAATGTGGGTTGTTATGCTAAATTTTTATAAAAATTAATAATTGGAATATTATGGCGATTTTGAATTCCACTTCATTTTAAATGCTTAAGATATGTGTCAGCGACCCATTTATGCTACTTACAAATCGAATTACATAAAAATTAATATACTTATGCACTTAAGCAAATGTGTAAGCTAATTAAACCTATAAATACATTTAACGTGTAAGTAGACGCCTAGGTATGCATGAATATGGATTACTAGTATTTAAATTTGCGCTTAAATACGAAATATTTACACAGTTGAAGAACGTCTAAGCGTAACTCTTCTACTACTCCCCTCTCACTGCGTTTCATTCTCTCGGATTACACCGGATCTTATTCAATCTTACTCAGAAGTAATCCATTTTCGGCGCCTCCATAGCGGTGTGTAGGGTCAGTGTCACACCGCGATTAATGCTGACGGCCGGATAGAAGACACCGTAGAGATCACGGAATGCTACTGAACCTTGTGGCATTTCATTGACGAGAAAACTCAAAGTATGCCGTTCCAGATCAAGTAGCACACCGATGGTGCTGCCAGTGGTTATACCACCCTCGACACGTCGCTCATGTACGGAATTATGCTGAAACCATGAACGTTGTCCGTCAATGTACATAGCAAACGATTTTTCGTCTTTGCCTGAAAAGAGAAAATAAGTAGAATATTAAAATACTAAATAAATAACATACAAAGAAGATAAATATGTATAGTTCTTTCTTTGCGACAAAGTTTTCCTTTATTTTCTTCTTTAGGAATCTTCACTTTTAGGAATTTTAAGGACGTATAAAGGACGAACATCGGCCCAAGTCAGACCCGTCGATTAGGATCAACCCTACGACCTAACCTAACCTATTGCTTTGTGATGACAATTATAGAAGTCCGGGGAATTAAAAAAGATTCTTTGTGAGACTTGTTATCAGTGATATTGCGACCGTTATTCAATTGACAATTATGGAAGTTCTTGAAGTTAAAAAAAAAATCTTTTCTATGATATTCCGTTCTTGTTTCAGTGATATTCCGAGCGTTATTCCGTTATAGGATTGAAAATTATGGAAGTCCTTGAAATTTAGAAAAACAAAAAATTAAATGAAATTTGTTTCTGTAAGATTTGTTTTCAGTGATATTCCAATTCGATGTTCATGTATGAAAATTGAAATAAATGTGAAATGAGAATGCCAGTATCTTGCATCGCACGCCCTTTTCTCCGAAAGAATATAGTCATTTGTCGGAACTACCAATATCGGAGAACTTTAGCATAAAGCTACCATATAAACTGAACAATTAAAATGAAGTCCTTGTATGGAAAACTTTTTTATTTGATAATGTATCTTCACGAAAATATTATATTATTGTCAAAGGTAAAGGTACAATCTCCGAAACAATTTTTTTGATCGGTCTACTATAGCATATACTCGTAGTTGCCTTACTAACTGACTTATAAAAATTAGTTTTTTTTTATGGAAAACTTTTATATTTGACAAGATATCTTCACGAAATTTGACACGGAATACTGTCGAAGGCAACTTTTGATACAGTGTATAATAGTTTTGTTCACCAAACGGTTGTTTGTATCACCTAAATAAAACTAATCGAGTTAGATATAGGGTTATGTATATATAAATGATCAGGATGAAGAGACGAGTTGAAATCCGGGTGACTGTCTGTCCGTCCGTCCGTGCAAGCTGTAACTTGAGTAAAAATTGAGATATCTTCATAAAACTTGGTACACATGTTTCTTGGTACCGTAAGACGGTTGGTATTGCAGATGGACGTAATCGGACCACTGCCACGCCCACAAAACGCCATTAATAAAAAACAAATAAATTGCCATAACTAAGCTCCGCAATAAGATACAAGACTGTTATTTGGTACAAAAGATCACTTTAGAGAGGGGCATCTGCAGTTAAATTTTTTTTTAAAGTGGGCGTGGTCCTGCCCTTAATAAGTTTAATGTGCATATCTCCTAAACCGCTAAAGCTATAATAACCAAATTCACTGGGAGCAAATGTTTTTAGCCCCTTTATTGACGGCGTGGAAATAATTGAAATCGGGTGGCAACTCCGCCCACTCCCCATATAACGGTACTGTTAAAAAATACTAAAAGCGCGATAAACCAAGCACTAAACACGCCAGAGACATTAAATTTTATCTCTGGGATGGTATGAGATGACTTTATAGGAACCGCGTTCAAAATTAGTCAGCGGGCACCGCCCACTTTTAGGCGAAACCCCATATCTTGAGATCTGCTTAACCAATTGCAACCAAATTCGGTGTATAACGTTCTTTTCATATTTCTAGATTATAGTGCGATATTGGGCGAATCGGACTACAACCACGCCTATTTCCCATATAACACCATTTTCAATTTCATCTGATTGTTTCAATTTCCACTATGCAAATCAGGCAACAATGACTGTATCGGGATAAAGTATGCCACCTTGTGATCAAAAATTGTCTAAATCGAACCAAAACTGTTCAAACCCCTAAGTATTAAATATGTGGACCCCAGTGCCTATAGTTGACCTTCTACTGAAAATATCGGTCAATCCACAAAGAAATCTCAAACGAGTATACCATTTGACTTTGCGAGAGTATAAAGTGTCCGGTTGCATCCGAACTTAGCCCTTCCTTACTTGTTTTAATTTGAAAATCTACAGTTCAATGGAAAAGTGCAAAAACGTTTTGGTGATAGCACTCAACACCGGAAAATAAATAAAAACAAAGCAATAAAACGATAGAAAATTTCTTAAGTGAACAACTGAGACACTCTGAATGAATAGCTTTCATGGTGCACAAAAGCGGAAGAGGTGGGTGACTGACGCGGGTTGCCTCGCCCACCTCATTGCACAAGTGCCGATACTTTCAGTTCTAGAAACGCTAATAAGAAACTTTTTCATTTGCAAAAGTGTTGTGGCACACAGCGAATAAATGTAAGAAAGTTTTTACGCGTCTCTGTGGCAGCCACAACTACACCTAAATGGCAGCGTTAACTTTTCTTTGCCAAATACCTGGCGTCATTAAATATCGAGTGGCAAAGAAAATTCACACGATATTGCAATTTTCAATTCGATTGAAATGTGTCTCAGAAAGAACGCATAAGAAATCTATTGAAAATGTTTCGTGCAAATTCGAGCGCGAACACAACTTGGCACTTTGTGGATATGGAAGTAAGAAAAGATAATATTTACTTAAGGATATTGCTTTCAGTCAGCAAGCGGAAGTTGTTGAACTTCAAAAAAGTGACGATATTGAAATAAAATAAAACAATAAATGTTTGCAATGTCACAAATGACAAATTGATAATGAAAAAAATGCAAACAAAATATGCGAAAGTTTTCAAATTATAAAGGATTTTAATTAAATTGTAAGTAAAAAAAGCTCAAAAGAAAAAACGAATAAACTTTCATAGTTTCGTTTATTTGATGAAGCTAACGATGTTGACAGTTAGAAAACCAAGCATACTTAAGATGCCGTTGGTCGCTTTGTCTAATCAAAAACGATGTTGCCACATTTCACAACATTTTATATAACGAGTGTTTTTTAAAACTGTGGTTTTCAATTAAGCACTACTTTTTACGGAGTTGCGCTTTTTGACAGCTGTTACTTAATTCGGTTTGTCATTTCATATGAATGAGCTGTGTCCAATATTCGGTCGACATATTTGCCCAGAAGAGTCGGTACCCAGAGTATCGAAAAAGACCCGAATGAGTCTATCCGCCACAGCGCGCAACAATTGAAGCTGTGCCTATCCACTTTATTGAAAGTTTTGTGAAAAGCTTTCTTTGGCTAGCTCACAAAATCCAACTCGTGCAAGAATTAAAGCGTTGCATGTAAAGCGATGAAACTCACCATTTGTTGAATAAGTCTAAGTAAACAAAAGTTTCGCATAATGCACAAGCCATTGTTGAGACGCCGTTACATCCTCAAAAAATCCCGATTTGATATATGGGAAGAGGGAATCAGTGGTCCATATTGCTTCAAAAATGAAGCCGTCCCTAATGAATTAATTCGATTTGTATTTCTAAAACTTCAGTCCTCTTAAATTTGTCTGCTCTTAACGATTCACTTTAAAGCTGCTGTTATTTTATAAAAGGCGATTGCTGTCATGTCAAACTTTAAGAGTAATTCAAAGGAAATACGCCACTAAAGCAAATGGAAATAATATTATCAACCAATGGCAAAAAGTTGCCAATGGGATACTAAAGTAATTGAATATGAAAATCATTTAAGTGTAGCAAACTTTCAGACTATTATAAGTTTATTTTTATATTCACTTAGCACAATATTCACTGCAATTTTTATTGTGTCATTTTGATTTGTGAGTTTGTGAAAGACACCCTTCCACCTCCTCAATCTTCCACTTACCTAGCATTTTGTTGCGATTGACATCGATGCGCGCCACACCGAACGCTGGATCCGTATCCATTGTATACTTGTCAACGGTGAATTCCCAATAGTGGATGCCGCGGGAGAAGCCAACAGAACCCAAAGCCACTCGGTGCTCCCAACCCTCCACCGATACTGTGGCATTATTGTTGCTAAAAACCAGACCCGACCCAGCGCCACCGCTAAGAATTGGATCAAATGTGAACCAGGCAACTGTGAAGGATGTAGAAGAAGAAGAATTATTTCAAAAATAAGTAAATTTATATGCTGTAAGTAGATTTTATTGTAAACTTATTATAATACAAAATAATAATGTTGTGAGATGCATACATACATTTATAAACAGAAGGGCAACAGCACAGTAGAGTGCGTCGAGTGGTGCTACGAAAAAATGCAACAAACTGATAAATGAAAAAAATAAAAAATTGCAAAAGTGCTAATAAAAGCAAACGTTATAGTTGAGCGCAATATTGAGAGTTGTTATTGCAATAATCCTTTTCATGAGTGGCTGCACTCTCGAAAGCGCCACAAAGTATGCTACAACTGTAGCACTGCCACTAACAGCAAAATCGAATAGTCGACAGCTCATTCTGCTGCTTCGACGCTCTCACTTTTTATTGCATTATTATCATTCGCCGGCGTTCATTCACTTGTTGCGTTATTGAGGATTTATTAGTTGCCACCAATTGTGGCAATTGTCATTTTATTGCACACTTATTGCTGACTGCTTTTATTATTGTAGCTAAAACTTAAAATTGATTATAGACAACGGATATTGTACATATTTAGGCATATGCTTATACATATAAGTATACTGAACTGCGAAGCTATTTAAGTTTGAGCTGATAATGCACTTGACGTATTTGAAATAAAAGAAAAAAGTTAACGTGGCAACTAAGCTAGAATATCTTTCATAAATAAAAAAGTTGCTATACAAGAACTTAATATTCATCGGTCAGTTCGTATGGCAACTATATGCTATAGCGGTCCAATCTGAAGAATTGGTTCAGATATTATAACGTCAAATAAATAATATTTCCATACAAGGACTTAATTTTGAAAGGTCAGTTAATATGGCGGCTATATGCTATAATGCTGATATCGGCGGTTACGACATATAAGCAGCTTCTTTGGGAGAATAGGACGTCTTTCAGATTGTTATCTCCAAATCGGTGGAACTAATGCGCGTGCATACAGAAAACCGACCGACCGTGACCGTTGCCACATAAAATATTAAATTAGTTTTCAAAAAAATATCATTAATCAAAAAAGTTCTGTATTTCTTCAACTGAGGGCAATGAGGGCCATGAAATATAGGACGAGATTGCCAAATGTAGTGCACGTCAACGGTCAGGAGTATGACAAGGAAAATTAAACCTTGGTGCAAAACTCTAAAAGTCATGCGTAAAACGGTAGATCGGAAATATATAAAGTTTCGACTGGCACTCTATCGAAGGGACTGTAGGAACATGATTGTAATACTCAGTGGTCAGTCAGTCTGAAACTGCACGAAATGTCAAGACCAGGGAAAGAGTCACAGAGTGTGTTGAGAATCGCGGATGACTACTTCTCATGGACTTTGTAACGGAACTTATCTGGTATTGCAAAGGACTAAAACTGCGTTGCTTATTAGCCTGTCAGACTAACCTAAAATACTCCAACTGTAAAATTTGAAACAAGAAATCTAATTTTTTGAGCATTACTTTGTAGCAAATACATTAATGTGTAGCCTGGCCTATTCACCAAATTTCCTCTAACCATAATCCCCTAAATATGAAACCTCTGCTAGTGTTATTTCAATTGGGGATCACATTAGGTGATGGCGACAATAAAACAAATATTGTACAATACTGCATTTGCAGAATAATCCGAAAACTTAATACAGATGAGCGGAGAAACTCGATCAGGACTAAATAAATAATATTATTATTATGAGTATAGTGATTAAGGAGAGGTGGCAAAGGCAATTACTGAGCCATCTCTTGTGTTTACTCACGCAAACTGAAAAAATTTAATAATCATTTTCAATTTTCTCTCAAGACTCCACAAGACATTTCTAAGTCTTATGCACTACTCGTTTTTCAAACATTCTTTTTTCTTAGTTAATTGAAATTCAGAAATCGAGTGGTAAATAAAAAGAAAGCATATCGCGTAAATTGTTGTGCTCACTCACCTTCCGCCGTTTGCAATCCAATAAGTTCGGAATATTCACCCTCGCCCGCATTGTTGAATGCCTTGACGCGCGCATTGTACATGGAATTGAAGTGGAGTCCGTCCACGGTGCAAATCGTTTCTTTACCGCAATACACCTCCTAAGGACAGAAGGTGGAAATATAAATACATAAATTTATTAATATACTAGTTGAAAATGAAATTAGTATGCTTGTGTGGAAAAGTAAATTCAGCATGTTTATTAAATAAAGGGTGTTTTTTTAGACATGTGGTTTTTAAGTAGAAATAAAACGCTTACAATTTAATGTTATGGCTAAGAATTTAGCTTTATCATAAAGATAAACGTTCGCATTATGCCTTAAAAATGATTTCGAGCAAGTGGGCGTCGCGGCTGACTCGACTAAATTCCAGGGTCCAATTTCCGACCACTTTTTACAGCAATTGGGGCCGAATTTCAGCAATAACGCGTCGAATATTTGTCAATCGTCTCGGGCTTATCTGCGTAGACAAGTGACTTCACATAACCCCACAAAAAATAGTCCAGCGGCGTTAAATTACACGATCACAGAGACCCCGCCACATATCGAAAACATAAGATAATGCGCTCACCAAAAATTTCCTTCAATAAATTGATTGTTTCGTAGTTGTATAGCATGTAGCGCCGCCGTCTTGCTGAAAGCAAAAGTCGTCGACATCAACATCCCCCACTTCAGGCATATCGTTCCCTATCGACTGGAACATTAATTTCCCCTGCCCATGGAACACAACAAACAGTGACTTTTTGAGGATGTAATGACGTCTCTACAATGGGATGAATCATCACAACTCCAAATGCGACAATTTTGTTTATTAACGTACCGATTCAACCAAAAGTGAGCTTCATCGCTAAACAAAACTTTCTTGTAAAAATAGGGATCGGTGGCCACCTAGTTTTGGCCCCATTCACCGAACGTGCGACGTGTTTGATGGTCGGTCAGCTTAAATTCAAGCACGAGTTGGATTTTTTAAGGAAGCTAGCTAAAATCCGTCCGCAAAATTTTCTATAAAGTGGATGGGCACAGCTCCAAATGTTTCGCGCGATTCAGGACTTCTTCGGTACTCTTCTCTACAGCAGCAATAGTGTCTTGAGTGCACACTGTACGGCATCTCTGAGGATACGCATTATCCCCTAGAGTAAACGTGGTGCCGAACCGGTCCATGGTTGCTTGAATTACCGACTCTGCTGAGAGATTATGTCGACGGAATAAGGACGCAGCGCGGGACCGTCGCGCGAACAGGACCAGTATTTTGGTAATAAATTTGCATGATTTGCAAATATTGTTCCGAAGTAAGTCTGGAAGACCAACTTCGAAAAAAGTATTGCCTCATTGAAAACCACACTTCTAAAAAAACAACCTTTATATGTGGACATAAATTCTACATGTCGAACAACAAATGCAATACGGTATTTTCATTTAAATATGTAAAAGTTTTTTGTAACGCTCTGTAAATATTTTTTGTGTTCGAAGAGTCTAGTTATGCATGGACATAGCTCTCAGTATCGATAAAATATGTACAAACAATTTACGAAAGCATATTTTTGATTCTACTGTTTTTAAGCACTATACATATGTATATCACGAAATAAGTACCTTTTTACAAGATAAAATAAAAAAACTTGGCTATTTGGAGCTTTTATATAAATTTTGAGGTTATGTAAAAATGTGTTCGATCCTTTCATTACCTACAACTTTGTCATATATTATAATTTTTTCAATACAGCTCGCAGTTTTGCCGGAAATCAAGCAAAAGCGTTTTTGAGCTTTAAACATTCACGACGCCCCTCCTCTTCTTCCCGACCTCAGATAACTCGTAAATTATTTTTCCTTTATTTTTTTTATATTTTATCTTTCGTTTCCAATGGGTTTGATTATACTACAATATAATATATTTTGCTTTCAAAAATTATCTATCCTGCTCTATTATACATACTGCAATATTATGAACGAGTACATTAAATATGGGAGCGTGACATAAATAGCGTTATTTTTCAAAAGATTATTTTTTCAGCGGTGGAAAACACCTATTCTCAAGTTAGATGAGAGAGAGAAATTTTAACTTTCTAAATTCTTCTAAAAAATTTCAAAACTCTCTTCATTGTTGAAAGTTTTCTTAGACTGACTAAAACCTAATCATCCCTGTCAGGTGATGGCAAATGACTTACGGCTCCTAATAACTTACCCGAAACTCGCCACCGCTACCATCGTCCAACTCCAATACATAGCCATCAACGATAGAGTGGGCTGGTGGTTGCCACGCTACTGTAACCGAATTATTTTCTGCCGAACAATCCTCTGGAACAATTGTTGGCGCTAAGGGCGCTGTTGTACGTCAGCGGAGAGCAGGAAAACCCAGAAAAATTTGTATATTAGATTATGGTTTTACTGTTTGAATTGTCAATGAAGTGAAATTAATTACGTTTGCGCAAATAAGACTACAATAAAATTAATTATTCATAACTAAATTAACAAGAACAAATGCAAATATATGTAAAGCAACTAAATGATACGGTACAAGTACAACAACAACTAAAAGTGAGCGAGATAATAATACTTTTAAATACAAAACTTAAAATTTTATTTTTGCATTGTTAGTGTATTACAAGTTTGTGCTTGTTAAATGACAAATAGTTAAATATATAATTACAACAAGTAAGGAAGCGCTAAATTCGGGTGTAACCGAACATTTTATACTCCTGTAATTCAACTTAATTAACACAAATGATACATATATATACAAATATATATGTATGTGTCATGAATTCAACCTAAAGGCGGTGCCGGAAATCGCTATAACGGGTATATTGGGACTATGGGAAGATTTGGACTAATTACATTAACTTTTGACACTGGGGTAATTTGTGCACCGATTTTACGAATTTCCTGCAATAAACCAATATTATACGTGTTCTTAACATTTTAAGATATCTTACATATTGACTGATATATACAGTGCAGGGTAGGGTGGCTAAAAAAATGAATGTTGTTTTCTCTTGGTACTCCGAAAAATTGGTTGGTAGAATCTCTGGAAAACGCTTTCCAAGTATCAGCGCATAATTGTAACGGGAAGGTCCTCCGCTTTACCGTTATATATTTTTTTCTTATGATCAGATAGAAAGATTCATATCTCGCTCCCAACTACTTGAAAACATATTTCGTTTTATGGATTTTGTGGGAAATTGAATGCTCTATCAAACGGTCTCTCACGGTTTTTTCGTAAGCTGAACCATTTAAAAGATATTAGCGGTTGAAGTTTGACTATTTAAAGGCAAATTTGGTTTTTTCTTCTTTTGAATCTTATAATTAACATTCTGGCTGACATTCTTATATATATTTTTTATATCGGAGCTAAGTTTAGTATTGACTCTATTATATCAATTTTTGGCATCACGACATAATATTACTAGAAAAAGATGCTCGCAAATTTTCAATGAGATCACTCTTTTTGGACGATAAGTATGTTTGACGTCCCTAACGGGTCCTGTTTCCCGAAATTTTCAATTGATCTCTTTAAGTTGACGAAGTTAAAACACTATTCCTACCATATTTTGTATGAAATTTTCGAACTGCGGCTACCAAGCTTTCATTATGTTTCAAATATTGTGCACTAATGAAGACACGTTGTTCTATCGTGTAACGCTCAATTTTTACTAAGCCTAAACTGTCAGCTGGTAATTTTTTTTGTAGGGTTGTCAACACTTTACTATATAAATGGCGGCAAATTTAAATCTGCGTTAATTTTGGACATTCGTATTATTTACTTCTATGTGGACTAGAGGAAGTATAGTCCTGATTTTATCCATTTTTTGACACAAGCGCATGCCGTTATCATAAAAATATTCTCGTAGAATTTCAATACGAAAGTCAGTGATAGGCACCGAAATTCACCTATTCGGTAACTGCGGTAATAAAACACCAAAAAGGTAAGCTAAAGTTCAAAACAGATAGTGGAATCAAAACATAGATTAACATCTTACGTAGAAACAGTTTTTGGATAACTGCACAAATTAAAAAAAAAAGATAATATCGGTCTAAAACAAAACGAAACAAGTTTATAGGTAGTATGTAAGTGTGTATGTATGAGAGTAAAAATGGTGTGTGTACTTTTTGTTGTTAACGTTGGAAAGAGTGTTGTTGAGAATAATGATAGTGTTGGTAATGATAACGTTGGTGACAATGACGGTGATGATGTTGTTGTTGTTGATGATGATATGATTTTGGTATTTGAGTTGGTGTTGGTTTTATTGGTGGAGGTGTCATTTGTATAAATATTGGTTAGGTTCGAGCAGATGGTGGGTACAGTTTGAAATCTGGACGAAATGGATTTGGGTAGTGTTGCGGTACGCATAAATTTAGTTGTTATTGTTGTTGTTGCATTATTAACGTTTGTGCTTGTAGCAGTTACAGTTGCAGTTGCCGTTGTATTTGTTTTCAGTGTGGAATAATGATTTGTTTTTGTTGTTGCTGCAGTTACGGGTAACAACATCTCACCTGCTGGTAATCGCTCTTCTCCATCTTTGACAGCTATTTTTGGGCGTATTTGGGTTTTTCATATTTGCGGTCCCACATTCATGGATGAGTGGATGGGGTTGGTGCAGCAATGCGATATATGCATATATATATACACATGTGTTTGTTGTAAAAATGCACGACGTTGGAGTGATTATATTAATTGTCAGTGGTAAGTGATATGGGTATTCAAAATGTTTAATTTTCCGAATTTCAATTTAAGCAGATTTTTTTCGTTTTTGAAATTGTTGAGTCATAATTGATGGGTTGTTGTTTGGATGTTGCATGTATTGTAGATTATTTTTGTTTTTAATGGTGTGCAAGAGAAAAAGAGAGCAAAACATACACAATTATGTAGATTATACAGATTTAGTATACATATATACTTACATATGCATACTTATAAATACATATATAAAGCACATACATAATACATATATACAAGTTGTAAATGCATTAAAATATACCTCAAATACAAATTCACCTATTATATAATAAATTACGCAGCAATTACGTCTATTTTAATTGGATAGCACTAAACTACTTTCGCCCTCAACAAAATTTTGTTGTAATTCAAATCAAGAGCTCTTCAAAAAAGTATCGTGTTACTGCCAGCATGTGTGTGTGTGCGTATGTAGCGGCGCGTCAATTGGAAACGCTTTTAAAACAATCAAAATTTTGTTGAAAAGTGTTAAGTGGCTTTGGTGATTTGTTGTGCCGCAGCTGCCACCGACGCCGCTATCACAATTTTGACAGTATGTTGCCACGGCTCCCTACAACATGTGGCAATGTGTCAAGGTTTACGCTTGCCTAGGCTATTTAGGACTTAAAAGCCACCAAATATTTGTAGTTATGTGTGTGTTTAGCGCGTACTACTCTATATGATGATGCTACACTGATGTCGGCATCGAAATGTGCAGCAAATCACTTGAAAGTGTTGGCATTGCACATAGAAGGTATTGTTTATTTTGTTGGTATGTTTCACCACAATAATACATTTGTCCACGGCACATTGCTAGCCTGACTATGAACAGCAAATATACAAGGTGCTGTTATATTTAATCTATTAAGTCTATCGATGCAGAAATCTATTTACTCTTATTTAAGTAAATCTGTTTCATGTTCGAAAAATGTTAACTTCAGTTGCACCGAAGATTAACAAATACAATAGATTCCATATAAGAACTTTATTTTGATCGGTCATTTTGTGTGGTTGCTATAAGCTATAGTGTTCCGATATCGGTTCCGACAAAATCTCCGGCAACTTCTTGGGAAGAAAAGGACATGTGCAAAATCGTCGATATCTAAAAAACTGAGTGACTAGTTTGCGTATACACAGACAGACTGGCAGAAATGACGTCGAATTGAGGTGGCAAAAGAGATGCTTGACTATGTAGCTGAGAACCCTATACAAGACGATAATATAGGTTAGTAACAAGAGCACTCATAAAGCGGTACAAACAGAGTCACGCTGAAATGCTATCCTCCTTCAATTGCATCCCTGAAAACATGGACCATTGTATCCCAGAGGCTACTGCTGGTGGCTATTGCTTCGCTCACATACCGATGCGGAATATGCGGACGGGGGGATAAGCATTCATTTCGACAGGAGACCGGCAATACTAACGTTGAGCTCGCAAACTGTGCACTCAAAGTTAGTGAAAGAGTGTCTATCCTCACTAGATATAGCAAAAAGCTATTTCATTATCATACATGTTTGGGTGTCTGAGATTAGCGAAATCGCTGGAAACTGCAAAGTCGATGAGCGAGCAGGAGGAACCACACGTACCCCGCTTTCGTCGGAGTAGGAACGACTAGGATTTCTGTTGTCACCTTTCATTCTAGCACTGGACCTATGGACCTCGCGTGTGTTTAAATCCATTCAGACGCAAATTGACAAAGTTGTGTGGAGGAAGATGAGATGCAAACACCCACACTGTCCAGCTTTTGCAAGGCTGAAGTTGAAACATCTTGGCAGTCATACCTTCAGCGAACCAGGAGACATAACTGAAACTGACATTAGCCGCTTTTACAAATATGTGATCGGCTCGAAGCGCTTTGTCGATTTATGAGGGTCTTTAAAATCAATTTTATAGGAGTTCTAGGTACCACAGTGGATCGGCTTTATAAGCTGTCAAAGGGAGATCCTTGTTAGAATCAATCATTTAACCTAGCCTAACCTGCTTTTTAAGTTTTAAATTCATTTTTTAATAAATATTAAATAAGTTCACAATTTTTACTTCAATACTAAATACCTTTTAGAGTCGGTAAGTCTATTTTATTACACATCACTGTATAATTAACTATGTTCGACGATGTCCTTAACCAAAATCATTTGTTATTTACCTTTCAAGTGGTGCTGCTGGTAAATCACAAATTTGGCGAAAATATTACATTTTGGTTTAGAATTGGTTAGCAATTACTTCGTTAATTGGTTTTGGTGCATTTGAAATCTGATATGAATTACTGAATATCATTTGCCAAACTACACTTACTTTTTTACTGCTTTTAAGAAGTACAATATGTTATTTAAATACTATATTACGGTTAATACTTCTAATTAGCGGTCATATACCATAACATGGGAGTTTCACATAGCAATGCATAAATGTAAAAAGTTAGGAGTACGTATGTATGTATGAAATGACTCGTACTCGTTTATACTTCGCATAGATACTTATGGTATAGGTATGTATATATTATATATTTCTTTGTTCAAGTATATAGTATATATGGTATTTATTTGCCAACTTTTCGACATACCTTTCATCTGCATAAAATTCAAATTATCAATGGCGCGCACCAGGGCAGCGTCATCCAACGTCAAATCCACAATTGGCGAAACACGTGGAGCGGCATTTGTCACCTCCTGATGCCAGGTCATGTCCGTATTGGCAACGCGATTAATCAACATGGAGCCGACCTGTGGGAATGAACACCGACCGAGGAAAGTAAAAACGTGTAATTAGAAATCAACTTATATACACCAAACGTACATATGTGTGTGTGTGTGTGTGTGTATGCAGAAAAGAAAACAATGAAATGTGTGAATGAACATGAAGTAGGTTGAGAAAACCAAGGGGAATACCCATGCTCAATGGCGCAGCACTCGTTAAAAGTGAAACACGCTCACATAACGGGTGTTTTTTAGACATGTGGTTTTCAAGAAGAAAAAATACGCGTATAATTTCATGTTAAAGTTGAGGGTTTGCCATTATGTTTTAAAACTGATTTTGGGCAAGTAGACGGCGCGGCTGGCTCGAATAAATTTCAGCCGAGAGGTCCAATTTTCGCACACTTTTTGCACCGGAGCAATAACGCACCGAATATTCTCTTCCAAGGCATCAAGCGTCTTGGGCTTATCTGCGCGATGGTCACTCGGCTCCAATGCTTGCACGAGTTGGAGTTTGTAAGGTCGCAAACCAAGATTCTTCAGCAAAATTGGATGGGCGCAGCTCCAATTATTGTGGCCAATGGAGCACAGCAGCAATAGCTTCTTCGTTGCGCACTGTAAGGCAGGGTTGCGCATTATCCACTAGAGTGAGAAATAAATTTTTATGATTTGCAAACGTGATTCCGCAATAAATCTGTTCATTATGAAATGGCGAAGCAAATTAAGCAACAGCTGTCACGTCAAAATACCAACTCCGAAAAAAGTATTGTGTCATTGAAAACCATACGTCTAAAAATAAACACCCTTTATATACAAGCACACATGCCGCGAGTATTATGACATATACACATAACTGTATAGCCTGTAAGGTGACTTACATAATTTAGTAGTCAGTAATTAGTCTCCTACTCTACTTACTTGTAGAAAGGCTGCACTGTCGGTCTCTTTCAACGCCTCAATGCAGAATTGTATTAGTCCAGTGGTTTGTTGCAACTTGCCCGTGCAATTTGATTGCTGATCCTATATGAAAAATGGAGAGAGAAACAAAGCATGAATATGATACTTTAGAGAAGATAATCGTATTTTCTAAAATAAATTGTTTATAAACTTTAAATACAAGTATTTATGCTAAAAGCACAAGAAGAGTCGAAAGTTTTTGAGATACACATTTGCCGGAACCGCTGATATCGGACAACTATAGCATATAGCTTCATACAAATCAACCGATCGAACTTAAGTCTTTGTATGGAAATCTCTTTGATTTAACAAGGCATCTTCACGTATTTTGTCATAGATTATTAGCCAAGGCATCGCTACAATCTCCGAACAATATGCTCACATCTCTCACTATAGCATATAGCTGTCAATTAAACTGAACGATTAAAATAAAGAAAAATATCTTTTTATACCCTTTAATGGCATAAAAAATGCACCTATGAGGGGTATTACAGCTTCGGTGCAACCAAAGTTACGGTATTTTCTTGTTTTTAACTTTTTTCTACTTTTATAGCATTAATACATTACTTCTGTTCTTTTGTCTATAAAAGAGCCATGAGTATACAGAAATACATAATATACCTATATTATATAAAGACTAAAGTCATTTTCTGCCGTCTCACTCACCTTTAATATTCTGATTTTCGTGTCCTTATCCATGCGTATAGCCTCGAGTAGATATTCACGTCGGTCGTGTATTGCTTGTATTAAGGCTTCGCATTGTGCCGTCACCAATCTTTCGAACTCCATGCAGGACTCCTGCATCATCAGCCACGGGAAAAAGCGACAGCATTAGAAAAAAAAGAAAAAAAACGAAGGAGATAAATGAGTAAAGGATTGTGAGAAAGGTATAACATGACGTGGCAGTGAAAATGAAGTTGTATTAAAATTAAAGAAATACAAAAGGCATTGTTTACTTTTTTCATGCTTGTTAATAATTTGTATACCCTGAAGAGGGTTTATTAAATTTCCACGAAGTTTTTAGCACCCAGAAGGAAACTTCGAAGACGCAATACTGTATATATATAAATGATCAGCATGAAGAGCTGAGACGATTTAGCCATGTCCGTCTGTCTGTCCGTCCGTCTGTTTATATGCGAACAAATCCCTAACTTTTTCAGATGTCGTTAAAAATATTGCACACTTCCTAAGAAGTTTATCATTTATAGGAATTGCCGATATCGGAGCGCTATAGCATATACAGCCTGAGAGATAAAATACATGTCCTTGTATCGAAAACTTTTGTATTTGACGAGATATTTTCACCAAATTTTAATGGGATCGAGTCAGTATAGCATGTAGGTGCCATACAAACTCAACGACCAAAATCAAGTTCATGCAAGGAATCTTTTGTATTTTAGAGGGTGTTATATCTTCGGCGCAGCCTAAGTTAAAATTTTTTGTTTAATTTATTTTTATGTCTTTATTTACTCTCACGCTTTAGCTTAGATTAATTCGCTACTAGCGCTAAGGTAAACGCGAAATGTCTTAGCAGCTCAGCCATGCGCGCTCGCAGCAAGGTAATGTAATTTCGCTTAACAGAAGAGTAAAGAGTATGCGTAATTAAAAAGTTCTGTCGTAAATACCGCTATTTTTATGAAAGCTGCAGTAATTTGCGCGGTTTTCCTAATGAAAGTTCTATAGGAATTTCGGCTTAACGTTAATGGCAACATGTTTTAACAACAACAACAAGAACATGTACTTTGAAAGTTGTCACTGTCGCACCAAGACGCCCTCGAGCGTTGCATGCTTTCATTACTTCCGAGCAGGGACACTACAAAATTTGAAATATTAAAAAAAAGAGTGGAAGAATGTACGAAAAAGTAATTGTTGCCGCATTCACTTAATGCTCGGGATCTTCTTGGGTTCCTTCTATTTTTTTTTGCATAGTTTGTTTTCGTAAAATTCACCCTGGCACAGACGCTTTAACTTTCTATAGCGCTCGCCTCGAGCACTCACTTACCGTCACTTTGTCACTCATGCCTTTTAATCGCTGTATGAATTCTGTGGTGGAGCGAGCCTTCTCCGACAACTGCTGCAAATTATGTGAGAGTTCCGTCTGCAAATAAAAAGATAAGACATAGAAAAGTTATTAGTTAGCAAATATGTATGCATGTTGGTGTGTGTGTGTGTTAAGCGCGGGAGAGAATCGGAAAAGAGAGCATTCTAAGTTTCAGTGCCACGCAGATAAACGACTGCTCTGAGGCATTTTGCGAAAATCGAAAAATTAAAGCGCTAACATAAGCTGAGATCGCGCTAACGTACAAATTTTTACTTAAGGCTTGTACACACTTAAGGCTAAAATGCTTCTATCGTTAAAAAAATTCAAATGATTTTTTGGAAAAAAAATGTTATTATAGGTATAACATATTTTCCCCTTCCAAGTCCAAGTCCACTTTTTAGATAATATTTTTGTGGTATATTAAAATGCATCTTAGTGTCTCGAACTCGAACTTTTCAGAGCCCATTCTTTTAGGAATAGAACAGGAGATCAGTTTCAGCGGACACAGTGGATACGAACTAAATTTGAAGCCCAATCCAAGCTTTCGCATACCCAAATTTTCATGAACGATATGCTCAACAAGATCATTTGATAGCCTTAGCATGTCAGCTATCTGACTTTACGGTCAAACAAATTATTTTTGTGAATTTTTTTTTACACTTTCGTTCGAACACACTATTTTGTGCATCCACAATCACAATTTAATTTCACACATTAAATTTCTAAAATTTGCATCGAAATTGCATAGTTCAGGAATCAGAAAGTGTTACTATCAAGTATAGTTTTGTTTACTTAACGGTTGTTTATAACACTTAAACCTATGTAGATAGATAGATATAGAGTTTTATATATACATAAAACAATCAGGATAATGAGACGAGTTGAAATCCGGCAGGTCCTGGCGGCAGTCTGTCTGTCTGCCCGTCCGTGAAAGCGACAAATTGAATACAAATTTAGATATTTTGAGAAAACTCGGTACATGTGTTGCTTGGCATCCAAGGCAAGTTGGTTTTGCAGTTGGGCAGAATGGCGCACAAATGTTGATTTAAAGGCAGATGGCACACCTACCAAAAATCCTGTCCGAAAATTGTCAAAATCGGATCAGAACTTCTCAAGCTCCCAGATAACAAATATATAGACTTCAAGAAATATTGAATAAATACGCAATATTTTTTTAATATAAGGTTCTGCCAATACCTAATAGTATTACCCCGGCTTTGATCCTTGCAAATGGCGCGAGTATAAAATGTTCGATTACACCTGCGCTTAGCCGTTCTTTACTTGTTGTTTTCACGCATTTTTTGCAACTCTAATATTTAAATACACGAATGTCAACTCCGGTGTGTGGCAGTGCCATCTCTAAGCACATATGTTGCAGCACTTGGATTGATTTATTACCATGTAACAGCATGTCAATAACATTGCCACAACTACTCGAAGTTGTTTAAAAGCCGGCGGCGAAATAGCAAGGTTTGAGTAGTAAATATTTACAAACAAAACAAACAAAGGTCGCCCGGACCGTGCTACTCGTGCCACCTCTGCCGTCTATTCACTGCCAGTTAAACACAGGCAGATAGACAACACAAACGGCAACCAACCGAGCACAAACCCAATAAAGCTAGCAGTCAGTCAGAGTCATGTAAACAGTTATAACCTAGGCATACATACATACATATACAATACATACGAGTACATATGTAAGTACACTTGTACAGTGCTGCTGTAAGCACAAATATCATTCTGCCAAATGCTTCCGCAGCATATGTACCGTTATGAAGGTGGCATGAGGCGCCACCGCCTGCTCTCGTTGCTACGGCGGCAGTCAGATGTGTTGCAGATAAGCGCAACGGCAAACAGACAGACAAGAGACGGCCGACCGCCAAACGGCAGACACAGCGACCCCAAGCTGCCAAGCCGCCGAGCGAATGAAGCGGTCATAGGAATGAAAGTTTGGAATTTACTTCATTTAATTTGAATAGGTCGTGTGGCGGACAGCTGCAAGTAAACGGATGTGCATGTGAGGTTACAAATACTCGTATTGTAAGTGTGTGTGTGAGTAAATATGCTGGCGCTACAAGCAGGAAATGTTTTCAGCAGCTGTCATGGCGCAGAAACGCCGTTAAACAGTAGCAGCAGCAGCAGCAGCAGCAGCGATAGGCGTTGAAAGGCATGTAGCGCAGAAGGGCCGCCCATTACCCGCTCTCTACCCTCTCTAAGCTGGCAGTACGTATGAGCAACATGGTGGATGAAGCTGCAGTCAGCGCTGCAATTGGAGTTCGCATTCGGACTCAAAGCAGTTGGTTGCTAATTTACCTGCAAAACAATTCATCTGGGTGAGTAGACACACAAATACAAGCGCGCACGCAGCAACAAGCCTATGTTTAATAAATCTCATTGAATAGCCGTGTGGTGAGTCACGGGTTCAGCCGCAAAGGATACATGCTTGTAGCAGGATACATATGCACAATGGAATATATTTTGTCTAGCTGGCGGCAGGTTTGTGTCTTTACGCTCCACGTTTTCGTACTACGTCGTAGGTCGGGTGTTATGCAACGGGATCATTAGGATGTTTAAATATGTTTTACATCAACAAATAACAACAACAAAAATACATATCTGTTGCAAAGGAATAATGAGAAAAAGGCAGCAAAAGAAGCCGAGCGACTTTACAAACGAGTTAATTCTAATGAATTGAAATGTTAAGTAGAAAATAACCACAGGATATATCAACACGCCAACCCTTAGCGCGTTACAACTGGCAATAGTGCCAACGGTAAAAAGTTTGGAAGAAAATGACTGCAAACAACAGATAGACTGCCAGTTCACCCAAACCAGGCAGTGAGTGAAATTTTAAATTAAAATTTGCAAATTAAATGCAAGCCGTGCTGCACACACTTTTTCATATGTACGAGTATGTAAACCAATTATGCTTTAGGTGCGTCATTTATTTGTATTTCTTTGCTTTAATTATTCGATTCCTTACTACTTTGCTTTTCTCGAACTCGAATTCCACAACAACAGCTGTCAGTGTCAGTCTGCAGAATTTCTTGTGGTTTTCGCTTCCGCTTTCCACTACAAACTGTGCTAGGTAATGTGTAAGAGCGCTTCTTCAGGTTGAAAGTTTTGCAGTTTATAGTTAAACTGCTACGTTATGTAATCGTGTTTGCATTTTTTGTAGTGTCTGATCAGCAACTGGTTTAAAAAGTATTTTTAAGATTTAAGATTTGCTTATTACCTAATACCAGATTGGCTTAAATTTGGCTTGGATATTTGAATTTTTCACATACATTTTTAAGTTATGTCCAAAAGGTGTTGATACAAAAGTTGTAGATCTTTTCATTACCTACAACTTTCTCATATAACTTTTTTCTATAGGTCACGTAGTTTTGCCGTAAATCGAGATAAACCGTTTTTAACCCTTAAACAATCAACCCTCTCCGTCTTCTTCCCCACCTCAGATCGTCATTGAATTGTTTTTCATTTCATTTTAGTTAATTTATCTTTCGTTTCTATGGGGTTTCAACCTACTATGATTTTCTTTCACCATTTTCAAAAGCTTCTGCACTGTTTTAAATCCTGAGATGCGCTGAATTAAAGTAAGGGCTTTTGTTGTGAAAGGCAAATGGTAGAGGTACATACATATTTATATTCATGTATACCGGCTAATTTGATTATATTTTGTTGGTTAAGCAAAGGAAATTTAATAATTTTTCAAAAGCTACCCAATTCCGTTTAGTTTTTTGTATTACATGAACCCTATACTTGTATGGACTTACATATTTCACGTGCAAAAGGTAAGAGAAAGTATTTTGTATTCTTTTGCACGGCGTTTTAGGGTTGATAAGAAAGAGACAATTCCTACAACTCGTATAAAATAATTAAGAAGTTTCAACTTTTTGATACGAGTAATGATAAGAAAAAGCGTTAACTTTGGTTGCATCGAAGCTATAATATTCTTCACAGGTGCATTACTTAGGCTTTTTTTCTGCTTTATATACATCTCTAAACTTAAAAACGCAACAGGTGAACGTTTTGCGTCCAAATGAAAACGTTTTGCTAGTTTTTTTTTGACCCTGTTGCTTGACAGAACCAATCTTCAAGTCGAATAAAGCTTACTTAATACGGAAAACAAATATTTTATGAAGATCTGTATCTTAATTTTGATCATCAGTTTGTATGACAGCTATATGCTGTAGTGGTCCGATCTGAACATCTTGTAGTGTTGCCTTGAACAATAATCCATGACAAATTTTGTTAGGTTATGCTTTTCGGTTAGTTAAATAGGCTGACTTTTCTTGCGACCACAAATAATCCCACTTGGACAGCCTGTCCGTTGTGATGCCCAGAACTCCTAGCTATGAATCAAAAAAACGTCGCATATCGACAATGCGCCTAGAGTCTGTCGCAAATTTATTGAGGCAGCTGATATTAATTCCCGCCAATTCATCGGAAAGTATGGCAACCGCGATATTTCAATATTATTCTGGCAAAAGCTGGACATTGGATCATCTAGTTCTTTCCTCCTTGCAACTTCCTCCAAAATATTAAGCCTTACAGCGTGGATATCAATGCGGCAGTGTCCATTTGGACGCTTATCCTTGCGGTAATGTGAACCTGGCTAAAAGCTAGCAATTCAATGCACCTGGGTCAGAAGGCTTTCACAACCCCATAAGGGCTGGTTGCTGACCAACGCTTGTTGAGCTCGCGCGAGACCTATAGATCCAGCGCCCAAATGTATGTGCTCGTTTCCATCCTGATGGTATTTGAGTAAGAGTGACTAGCTTTGAGCTCACTGTCAGCGAGCTCGAGGCCTATATAGCAACTCTGTTATCGGAGTGGATGACTCACTAGTTACGTTTATGGCCCATACTAGTTGTAGACTATTTTATAACCAGTTGTTCTGAGTGTTGAGTACAAAATAAACATATGAATATGCATGTGAACTCGTTAGACTGCTCCCTCGTTGGTGCCAAAGTGTCTGCGATTGTTATCTAACTACCACAAACGCTATAAAAACAAAGATCGTGGTGGTGTAGACCCTGCAACCTTGCAACACG